ATTAAAGATGATATGAATTCATACCATATGCATTATGGGATATACTATGCAGATTGTGGTAAGTCTATTTTCCAGATTAGAGCTTATATATGAATGTATGTGTCATATGGGATTGAATGAGTTACGTGATATCTATATTAGGTATATGAAGTGTGTGTGATGTGTTTGTTATGGTTTATATGTATGAATGAGCAGATGTATTGACATGTTACAGTATATATATATTATATGAGTTGTGTAAATAGGTAGATAAATGTGTTAAATATGTGAAATAATTAAAATGATCAATATGATTTTATAAGAATATGAAATAAGAAGTATGGAAAGAACATAAGAAAGAATATGAAATATATATAATATGAATCATATGAGGGGTGACATGAATTATATGAAAAATAAACTACGTGATTACAAATATATGAAAATATGCTAGTGTGATAGGACCCAGGAACTAGTATACGTGATATATATATATATATATATATATATATATATATATATATATATATATATATAAAGTTATTGGATGAAAAAAAGAACAAGAGATGAAGGATAATACTTTAAGAGTATGATAAAAACATAAATGATGACATGTATGTGTGTATGTATGTAATGGTTATATGAAAAGGTATATGTGATAAGATGATAATAGGAACATGTGATAAAGAGCTATAGAAAAAGAAAAATGTGATATGATGTGTGAATATGTAATAAGGTAAAAGATAATGCCCATGATATGAGTTATGAGAACTGTAGGTATAGTTGGCATGCCAAGAGTCAAAGAACTACCTATGTCTTTCGAGACATATGGACAGTATACCTATGTTCTAAGGAACATATGGATAGTTTACCTAGGTTCTTCGGGACCTATGGATATTTACCGAGGATCTTTATGACCTATGGATAGTTACCGAGGATCTTTATGACCTCTGAATAGTTACCGAGGATCTTTATGACCTCTGGATAGGTCATTCGGGACATTCATTGAGCTATGGTGATAGCATACGTGTGCACAACCTTATAATACTCGTATACCTTGGGTTCTCAATAGTGTATATGGGCTTAAACAGGACATAACGAGGATGTATATAATTATATCTTAATATGGTATTATTATGATTTATATTGTCTCATATGTGGTATAATAAATGATGGTATGATAGTATAATTGCGGTTGGATAGTAGACATCATGTTTATATTTTTAGTAATTCTTTATTATGTAATTATGCCTCACTAAGTCTATGACTTAGCGTGTAAGTGTTTTTACACGTAGGTTCCGAAGAGCAAGAGAATCAAGAATAGGAATTTGCAGATCAACATATCTTCATTCAGCGATCAGATCAGAAGTAAAGTCACAATATGTATTTTGTTGTATGTAGTGTGTTGGCATGTAAGAATAGTGTTAGTTACAAATGCTCTTATTAGTTTTGTCTTGTTTTGGTTAACTCGTGTACAGTGACAATGTTATTTTAATAAAAGTTTTAAATTTCATTGGTTTTCGTCAAAAGTTTAAAGTTTGAAAAGTCAATGTGACACCTCAGACTTGTATCCGGGTCGGATACGGGTTGAGGGTGTTACACACAAGTAATTGGCGCTCATCATTCTTCTTGAATCTTCCATGATAGTTAGCAGCAGTGTGTCGGATACAATACCAATGTTGGACATAGGGTGGTTGCCACATTGGACCCAAAGAATCCATTGATGCTTTTATCCCGGCTCTGCGATCTAAAATGACACATATTTTTCCCTCGTGATAATATATAAGCTTAAGTTTCTGAGGAAAAAACCCAAGAATTTGTATCTTTTCTTTTAACAAGGGTAAAAACAACTGGAAGAAATTTGCGATTACCATCTTGGACAACTGTCAATAGTAAAACTTACTTGTATTTTCCATACAAGAATGTCATGTCAATTTGGACCACGGGCTTGCAGTATTTCACAACATTAATGCATTGTGGGTAAGTCCAAAAAAGTCGGTAGAATTAGCATCGATCGCGAATCACTCGATCATTGTGGTAAACATGGCAAGTTTCGAAGTCGATAATTGTCCCATGATTCAATATGTGCACTACCCTAAACAAACTTGGTAGTTCGTTGTAAGATGCATCCCATTTGCCGTGAAGTTTTTTAATGTCATTATGCTTTGTCTTCCATACTTTCTTGTATGAGACGGTATACCCATACTGTGATTGTATAGCTGAAATCAGCACCGCAATAGCTATAAGGGAGTTTGCTTTTACCATGAGCATGATGGCTTGGTAGATAATACCAGAGTCCAAGTTGGGATGATCCTGGTAGATCCCTCCAGCACAGTATGTGTGAAGACTGTTGTATATCATTACTTCTCATATATTGTTTTTCCTCTTCCTCTTTGATACGTGAACCATCCAATTGCATCTGTTATCACGTTGGACACAGTGGCATATATACTTTTTGGTGGTAGAACGGTCGACTCTGGACTGAAAAAATTACGAATGTTGTAATTCTTAATTGCCATCATCGTTTCTTCTTTGCATGGAAACACCATTCCTTTATATAACTCACAATCATTGACTGAAGAGTTAAATTTGTAGTCACCAACATTAGGCATATCCATAAATTCTGGTCTGTACATTGCACCATAATTAGCTTCATACATATGTGTTGGAGGTTCGGTGTGTACTGTATTTTTGGGAACTTCATCTACATCATCATCATCGAAGTCCATGTTGAATTACGGTGATTCTGGCTGAACGAATAATCTAGTCTCAACACCATTCACACTTGGCTCACGAAGAGGTTCCTCTGGTAGAGATGAGGGTTCCTCTACAATGTCGACATTTAGGTCGAACAAGCTGGTAGTTGCATGTCTTTCCCTTGAACTTGAAGGCATATCGACATTGAGGTCGAAGAAGCTCGCAGTTGAATGTCTCCCTTAGAGCTTGAAGGCATCGTGTCAAATGGGTACTTCACAGATTGTTGCGTCGAGGGTATCTCCATATTCAAGTTAAAGAAATTGGCAGATGAATGACTTCCCCTTGAACTGGACGCGATGTTGTCATACGGATTGTTTGTGGAGCCACCTCGGTACAGATCATAAGAAGTTGTTGATGAATGTCTCCCTATTGAACTTGATGGGATGACACCATGATGTGGATTTCTCATTAACGAGTTAAAATCATTACATATTACTTGAGTTGGGCTGTCAACTTAATTAACTTGTTGAGTCAGCCCATAGTGGGAGCATAATGACATACCACAAACATCACACACTTTAATAAATTTTGCATACATCTGTATATTGGTGTCTAATTAATGATTTTAAGAATCAACCATAATAGCAACATCGTTTTCGTTGGATAATTTGAAAGATGTATAAAATTAACGAAAATACTGCGGTTGAAAATCTGTACTGAAGTGAGGATAATATTTTAGTACTTCCAACATGAACCTTTATTAAAAATTTTGTTATCAGCTTCTCAAGAGTTATGTTTCTCTTGAATGATATTCTGACAGAATGATTTGATGTGAAGACGACGCCAGTTTCATCTTCCCAAATTTCTCCATCATAGTAAATAATAGTTGAAATACGCATCATTTTGAGAGTTTGAAAGGTTGAGAGTCTTATATCTTCAAAAATAATAGCTGAAATACGCCTAATTAAAGTAATAGTATATGAATTAAAATATAAACTAATCAACAAATTTTTAAAAAAATTTACAATAATTTAAATAATATAATTTTATATTGTTACCGTATTGACAAAAATGTCTTGAGGTATGATCCCACTTTCCAATTTTACAACCGAAAAAAATAATACAAAATAATTAGTACAATAATTTTTTCTCAAATAATCATATATAAAATAAATATAATATAATAAAAAATAATTTTACATTACAATAAAAATAGAAGGAATTGATGAAGCAAAAATTGAAGGAATTGATGAAGTAAAAAATAGAAAGAATTGATTTGATGATGTTTGTATAGAGGGGGTGTTATTTATAGGGGAGGGGAGGGTTTAAAGGCCAAGCTGCTTGGGTGGTACCAATAATGGAAGGTGCGGATGATGATTCGAGCCTTACGTACGCGTGTTAAAAACCCTAAAAAGACACGAATGACAATCCACGCCTATCTTGATGTGACACCAGTTCGGGTAAGACACGAATGACGATCTATGTCTTTTATGATGTGACACCAACTCGGACAGAACCTCGCAAAGGCACGGATGACGATTAACACTTTATTAGAAAAGGTGTTAGATAGATAAAATTAAGAAAAAGAGTGTTGACAGATAATTATTATCTGGGTGATACTTCGATAAAATTACCGATGAAAATGCGATCGTAAAATGTATGTCGCTTTCAATATTAATATAAGTCTTCAGTAGTCGTACATATAAATATTAAATTGAAAATTAATTGTCTTGCTCTTTTCGTAAAGATGATAATGAGGTTGAAAATATTTTCTCGATTGTCCTCAAGTGATCGAAAAATAATTCTCTAAAAACAAAAACAATACATAAAGAATAAACTTAAATTGAGCGCAAAATGAATAAAAAATTAGCGATTATTAAAATAATTAGTTAACATAAAAAATAATTTAATGGTTAATTTTAATAATTTTAATCTCTAATAAGAATAAAAAATAAATACTAATAAAATATTCAATCAATAAGATTATGTCAAATATAAATACACAAACCATATAATTTACACTATCAAACTGTTCCTATCTAATATGTATACTGTTGAAAAATAAAACGAGTAATTTTCCTATAACTAGATTAGTGAGAATACGAAATAAAAGCGAAAAAATAATACCTGAAATTTATAACGGAATTCAACCAATTTTACCTACGTCTCCGGATTGTACAACTTACAAAAAAAAACTCTCTAAACTCTTTAGTAATGAGATAAAAAAAATGATTTAAGATGATTTTGATCCTAAAAAAAATACAATAACTAAAATTATAATATTCTTATTTTCAACAAAAACAATATCGAAATCGGTGATTAATTCTCACCCAAATTTATTGAAAGTTTTTGGCTAATGCTTGACTTTTCAACATATACTTCATACTTAAAGACTTCAGATTTAGCTTTGTTGTTGAGCAGAATAGCTGCAAAGATGTTGGTAAAATATTTGAAGGCTTTATGCGTTTACTTGGTGTTTATAAGGATTTGGTGTAGGCCTGCAATTTCATATTCAGTGGTCACCTCTCTTCCTGGTTTTAATGCTTCACTTCCCTTCAAGCTTGAAACTGGGTAAGCTTCTTACATCCTTCTGCTAATCTGGATGACGTAGAATTGTTTTCTTGAACTCTTAGAACTGATCATAATCAGTTTGGTAATTTAATGTGTCTCAGATACATAGGGGTGGATGATTCGGAGCTTTTCTATTATTTTATTGAATCAGAAAAGAATCCAGCGGAGGATCCTCTCTTGCTGTGGCTCACTGGAGGCCCTGGCTGCACTGGTGCTTCTGGGCTTTTCTTTGAAATAGGTAACGTGACTGTTTGTTTCCACTTGTTATGTCTTAATCCCAGCCCAGGAAAGCCTGCAATTAGTGCATTAATATATGATATGATGATAACTTATAATCTAAATCCATTTAGGTCCCTTGCGTTCTAACATAGTGGAGTACAATGGCAGCTTACCTACTTTTTCTCTGAATCCTTATGCATGGACAAAGGTGAGATCGTTTAGGACTAATTGCTTTGAAGCATACTGCCTCTTATTTCCATTCGCTGATATTTGATTTTTGAACATCATTGATAACTTTATAGGTTTCAAGTATTATCTTCTTAGATGCTCCTGTTGGTACTGGATTCTCTTATTCAAAGACACAGCAAGGTTCCAAGACTGGGGATATGAAACATGCTACTAGTTGTTATAAATTTTTGAGGAAGGTGTACACAAATCTCAACTTCTACCATCTCTTGTACATAAATATACCATATGTTGTTCTTACCGCAAAAACATCAAAAGTTTATCAAGGAAGAAATGTCTTCTCCTTTTATAACCAAGTGTAAGATTTTCTTTTCAGTGGTTGGAGAGCCATCCCAAGCTCATCACCAATCCACTTTATATTGCCGGTGAATCATACTCGGGATTGGTTGTACCTATAATTACTCAAGCAATAGCAGATGGTAGCTACATGTTCATCCCCATAAGACCTGTATTTCATATATAAATTGTTAATCAATGGGGCAATAACCATGTTACTCATTCTGCTTCAGATATTGAAGACATGGGAGTAACAGTATTCAATCTCAAAGTAAGTGCTACTTTGTGACTACTTTCACTTTAAAATTTTCCTTTTACTATACGCGGTTTTAGATTCCGAGATGCTACAACATTTCTAGAAATTTTTGCAGGGTTATTTGCTTGGTAATCCATTAACAGACAGAAAAATTGATTTAAACGCAAGGGTTCCATATTATAATCGTATGGCCCTTATCTCCGATGAACTTTACAAGGTTAAATCCCTTCTTCTAATGCTTCTGATATGGAGTAGCATATAATGATGCCCACTTATATTGAAACTTATAGTTATCTATACCCTTAATTCTAAATGATTATTCAAGAAAATCGTATATATTTATGCTTATGTTCTCGAGAAATTTTTGGCTTTGCAGTCAGCCAAAAGGAATTGTAAAGGAGAATACATAGAAGTAGAAGTCGGTAACAAAAGATGTGCAAATGATCTTCAGGCTATCTCAGAGGTAGAAATGCAACTTAAACTGTTTCTTACAGGTTCATTTTTTTGGTAATGCCTGAAATCTCTCTCTGTGTTGACGAGACATGATTAATAACACTTTTGGCTTTTGCTTTTCTAGTGCATTTCACACATATACTTGAAGCATATCTTGGAGCCTGTATGCTGCCCTTCCATACTTCGAGAAGTGGATGTTTTGGAGAATAACCGAAAATATCTCCTAGAAACTTATGAAAACTCCTGGCCTTCTGAATGTTTTGGGTGTAGCGTAAATCTTCTTTCACTTTATATCTTTCACTCCATAAATGTATATACGTTTAGATAACTGAGCTTCTGATTAATTCATGTTATAGAACTATAATACTTACCTTTTGAAAGTTTGGACAAATGATATCAGTGTCCAGAAAGCACTCCAAGTCAGAATGGTAAGGATTGAAGCTTTACGCCAACAACAGAAACAAGTAATATATCCGAGTTAAAATTAATGTAATGTTGATGTTGAATACAAGGGAACAATCAAAGAATGGTTCAGATGCAACCCAAGCTTGGATTATGACAATGATGTTCAGAGTTCTGTAAGCTATTATCCACGTCTCATTACAAAAGGTTATCGAGGTCTAATATACAGGTTAAACTTTTGCTTGCAAACCGCTCTCTGCTCTCGCCATCCTATTTCTTTTGTGCTGAATCCTAGTTTCTTTACAGCGGCGACCATGACGCAGGGATTCCATATTTGGGAACCGAATCATGGATTAAGTCCTTGAATTTATCCATTGTTGATGATTGGAGGCCATGGTTTGTTGATGGTCAAGTTGGAGGGTAAGCCTTTGACTATAAACAGATCTTGTTTCCCATATGCATAAGAGCTTAAGTATTTTATCTGATGCCTTGGTTCTTACAGATACTCGAGAGAATATGAAAACAAATTCACATTTGCAACTGTAAAGGCAAGACTGCAAATAGTTGTGAATGAAAATGATACTTAATAATTGACAGTGAAAAATACTGTAACGGAGTTTGGGTTTTTGCAGGGAGCAGGTCATACAGTTCCAGAGTACAATCCCAAGGAAAGTTTCGCCATGTTCAATAGATGGATTTCTCAACAGCCTCTGTAATCAACTGCTCCTTCTGAATTCCCATTATTGATATGATTATATGAAAATCATGTCACAATAAGTTAATCACAGCGGGAAACTGTGATCGTAATTATGGTGTAAAAATATGCCTAAAGACATTTTCCTTTATGCAGTTTTTATTTTATTTGCATAAGTAATCTTAGGTTAACACATTCATGAGCATCAATCGTGGATGGAAGTAGGGTAAATATCAGAAGTCAAATTATTTAATTTTAAAAATATAAAATTTATTAAATATTTAAACTCAAAATTTAAGAGATTAAAGTATAATTTACTTATTATTTAAGATCCCAATCTATTTTAATATTTTTTTATCGTCTGCTTAATTTTTTATTAAATCATATTTAAGATAATTGACAGAAACTCACTGAAATAGACGGGGTTTAGCTTAAGAATCATGTCATCCGTTATAATCAAAACACATTTACAAAGTTTTTATTAGTGTAGTTTTCACCTTCTTCCCCGATAATTATAGTGTTCTCAGGAGATAAATAATAACAGAGATAATATTCCCTGTCATCTAACATGACAAAATAGTAACCTGGGAGAAACATAATAGTAATTTTTTATTTTTGTGAACTGGGAGAGACATTTAGGATTGTTTCTGTAATATGTTACAGTTTCAGGGTTGAAGTTAAAAAGGAGACAAAATCGAGGATTAAAATTGTTATTAGCGATATAAAAGATAACGAATTAGACAGTCTCATTAAGAGACAACACTTCGAAATGATTTTTTTGAGATTACAAATTTGATGTTTGGGATGTGACACTTCCTCACCATTAATTGTTATTATCCATATGCATGGACGAAGGCGAGATCGTCTAGGACTAATTGCTTTGAAGCATATTGTAATACTACGCCTCTTATTTCCATTCACTGATATTTGATTTGTGAACACCATTGATAACTTTATAGGTTTCAAGTATTATCTTCTTAGATGCTCCCGTTGGTACTGGATTCTCTTATTCAAAGGCGCCGCAAGGTTTCAAGACTGGAGATATGAAACATGCTATTAGTTGTTATAAATTTTTGATGAAGGTGTACACAAATCTCAACTTCTACCATCTCTTGTACATAAATATACCATATTTTGTTCTTACCGCAAAAACATCAAAAGTTTATCAAGTTAAGGAAGAAATGTCTTCTCCTTTTATAACCAATTAGCGTATGATTTTCTGTTCAGTCGTTGGAGAGCCATCCCAAATTCATCATCCAGTTTATATTTCTGGTGTCTCGGGCTTGGTTGTACCTATAATTACTCAAGCAATAGCAGATGGTAGCTACATGTTCATCCCCATTAGACTTGTAGTTCATATATATTATTAATCAATGGGGAAACAACCAGGTTACTCATTCTGCTTCAGATATTGGATACACAGGCGTAGCAGTCTTCAATCTCAAAGCAAGTGCTCCACTTTGTGACTACTTGGCTACTTGCGCTTCAAAAATTTCTTTTTACTATACGCGGTTTTAGATTCCAAGATGCTACAATATTTCTAACAATTTTTGCAGGGTTATTTGCTTGGAAATCCATTAACAGACAGAAAAAATTGATTTTAACTCAAGGATTCCATATTGTAATCGTATGACACTTATCTCTGATGAACTTTACAAGGTTATTGGACGTAATCCCTTCTTCTAATGCTTTTGATATGGAGTAGCATATAGTGATGACCACGTATATATATATGCTGATGTTATTGAGAATATTTTGGCTTTGCGGTCAGCCAAAAGGAATTGTAAAGGAGAATACATAGAAGTAGAAGTCGGTAACAAACGGTGTGTAAATGATCTTCAGGCTATCTCAGATGTAGAAATGCAACTGAAACTGTTTATTATAGGTTCAATTTTTTGGTAATGCCTGAAATTTCTCTCTATGGACGAGACACGATTAATAACACTTTTGGCTTTTGCTTTACTGGTGTAACGCACACATTAACTTGGTGCAAATCTTGGAGCCTAAATGCCCTTCCGAATTGGCAGAAGTGGATGAGAATAACCGAAAATATCTTTTAGAAACTCATGAACTCTCCTTGCCTCAATTTGGATGTCGCTTAATTCTTCTTGCACTTTATATCTTTCACTCCATAAATGTATATACGTTTAGATGGGTTTTTTTATTATAAATACGTTTAGATGATTGAGCTTCTGATTAATCCATGTTACAGAACTATAATACTTACCTTTTGAAAGTTTGGGCAAACGATATCAGTGTCCAGAAAGCACTCCACGTCAGAATGGTAAGAATTGAAGCTTTACGCCAACAACAGAAACAAGTAACATATCCGAGTTAAAATTAATGTAATGTTGATGTTGAATACCAGAGAGAACAATGAAAGAATGGTTAAGATGTAATCGAAGCTTGGAATTTGACAATGATATTCAGAGTTCTGTAAGCTATTATCTATGTCTCAATACAAAAGGTTATGGAGCTCTAATATTCAGGTTATACTTTTGCTTGCTTACCGCCCTCGGCTCTCGCCATCCTATTTGTTCTGTGCTGAATCTTAGTTTCTTTACAGTGGCGACCATGACGCAATAATTTTATTCTCGGGAACTGAATCATGGATTAAGTCCTTGAATTTATCCATTTTTGATGATTGGAGGCCATGGTTTGTTGATGGTCAAGTTAGAGGGTAGGCCTATGATGCAATAATAGACGTGTTTCTCACTTTTACTTAAGTGGAATTTAACTGAAAGTGTACATTTATTTATATATTCCATCCTTCTTTTCCAGCATATAGTTTTAAACGAAGCAAAAGCGAATCATTGGAGAAAACGACATCAAAGCTTTAAAGGCTGACCAAACTCACCGACACACTTGGGGGGTTGGATGGGTTCGAATTTTGTTTAACACCCACCATACCTACAGATCTTTCACCGAAAATTGAGAAATTATTAGCCCAGTGAGAAAGAAAATTAGATATTGTCCCATAAAGCTCTGAAAACATCACACGAAGTTATAGTTTAGATTTACTCAGAACTAGATTTCAGATACATTTGGTAAGTGGTCCATAATGACTAGTTTTAGCTGCTCTGAAACTTGGAAAAAGCCATTCATTCTCAAAAGTGTTTTTGGCTTCGAATAGCATGTAACTAATATTGAAGAAGATAACGTCAGCTGCAACATCCAAAAAACTCGCCAACTATATCATCAAACTCACCTCTTTTGTCCTGATTTTAACAGCTGGTGGACCATCATTTTTTTGTCCAGCTGCCCATATGTTTCTTCGTACAAAACTGTGAGCAAGCATATTTCTTTAGTGGATCATGGAGTTAACATTACAGCTTTGGAATTGCAATGCATTATATGTTAGAGATGGATTCAATATTTGTAATTTCTTTTAATAATACAACAATACATCCTTTAAGGAGGCTAAAATTACAAAAGGTATGAACGCTGGTTTTTCTTTCTTTTCAACACCTGGAAAATATAATTTCACAACCTCCAGCGGCAGAATTGAATCTGAGTTTTCTGTCGTTGAATCTCTCACTCCCATAGTTTGCAGAAGTGGTTTTGGTCGGAGCAGTGTTAAAATGTAAATTCAAATTTGAGCACCTCTGGCTTTCGAGCTCCGGAACACATTTTGTATCATTTAAAAGGATAGTGCTGTGCATTCAAGAGCCTCACCAGTTTACCAAGCAGAAAAATCTTTAAATTCTCCGGGAGTGGTTTTCCTTTTCTTTGTTACAGAAATTGCTGTTAGATTGGTATCAACAGCAGCTGACTCACTCTGAGAGTGCCTAGCCTTTAATTACATCTTCCTCAGTGAAAGGTTCATCTGTAAGAAGCTCTTTCCAGTTTTTGGTCTTGATGTTCAATTCTTTAATTGCTTGCAATAGGAACAAGAAGGAACAACATCATAGTGCTTTAACACACCAAATATAAGAGGAAAATCTTGATAATAAGCAAAAAAAAAAAATTACCTCATAACAGAACACATTTCCCGTAGTCTTCACAGAAACTATGTGTGTGTACTCGGTAAAAACTTTGTTCAGAACAGGGCAATGATACTCTCCTGCACGAAGTAAGGCACAATTTAATATCCTCGAGGCATCAAAAGTAAACCAAACATGAAAAGACTAAAGAAATCGAAAACAAAGTTATTCTAAAAAATGTAAAATCTAAGATAGAAACAATCAGTATACCAACACAGCTGCACAGAAAACAAGAAACCAGAACAATGTTTATTCAGTCTATTACCAAAATGCAACAATACAATCTAAATGACAACACAGCTGTGCTGTTTCTTTCCCATCTTCGCGACCTCCTATGGGATGATTCAACTGTGTTGGGTGCTAGGGTTTATGATTCGGGGGGGGGGGGGGAATTGGATCGTTTTCTGATTAGAGATTATGGAGGGAGATTTCGACTTTTGACCGTTTTGAGACGGGGAGTCCTGCTGAGTGCCTGCTCCGATGATTACCGACTTTTTGAATTCGCAAAAACAACCCAATTTAAAGCCCCTTAAAACAATCGGGCTTTCTAAACAAATTAGGCTTAACGATAATTGAGGCCTTTAAAATTTTTCTAGAAGAAATTAATGTGATTATTGAATAAAAATAAAAATTATTTTAAATTAAAATTTTAATTTATTAATTCTATTAGAAAAATACTAAAAGCACTATTAGAACATAAAAATATAACATAAAGCTAAAAATGATAAATTATTAAAAACATAAAAAAAGTTATATTTTAAATAAATATATATATACATAATATATGCATATAACATATAATCACAAAGACAAATTAATCATATTCATATGGTGAAATTAACAAAGTCAATATGCTATAGAGAAAAACCAAAAACGTTACTACAAATTTTCATACTGTGTGTATTTATCAATAAAGGTCTCGATCATCAAAAATTAGAAGTAAGGTTTTTCGATTTCTTTTGTTATATCTTGTTTTTTCCTATTATATTATTGATTTGAATTTTTTTTTTGTAAGATTTTAAAAACTTGAGAATTCGAGTTTGTATTTTTTTTCACACAATTTTTTATATCCAAGATTTATAGATTTTTCGTCGAGATTTTATTGTGATTGTGATGGAAAGTTTAAAGGGTTTAAATAAAATATATTTAGGGTTGTGGAGGTTAAATTTCTTAGGATTTAGATTGATTCA